ACTTTGATTTAGACGTTATCGTGCGAACTTCACATTTTCATACCTCTGACACATCCACACCCACCCAGTTCCTTCCACTAAGTCTTCATGGAAAACACTGATCTAGCAATGACTGAATGTCCCTGGGGAGTAAGATATACAAACAAACGCTTCCAGGTTTCTAACAGCTCTTCTGGTTTTTCACTTGATGCTGTTTATCCTCTTTGCACTTGGAACAATGCAGTGAAACCGGCAGTTTCGCTGTCTAACATGTAGCATGGTGATACTGTTTCAGTCAAGTGTCTGACAATGCTGACAGTTCAAACAAATATATCCAGGCCCAAATGTTAATACGTGTCTGATTTGTGTTTAATGGGTTGGGAGGATGGGTGAGAGCCAAATCCTTATCTTGCACGTGAGCTGCTTGCCCTTGTAGCTTCTGTAATTCTCTCTCTCTCTTCTGGCTGCTTTAGAGAAAGAAGTGGGGAAAGGAGGGACAGGAGAGGAGAATTGTAGTGTATGAAAGATATGAGCTGGTCAGAGCAAGTTTGTAGTTGCTGTAGTTTCTTTCCTGCTAACAATGAATTAAACTTCTAGTCTAGTAATGTTTAACTTGTTAACAACTTTTCTATTTTAAAAGTGTAAGAGATTGACTTTTTTTAAAAGAACTTACCAAGATGAGGAAAAAACAGAAGTAAATTCCTCAGCTTGCCAGGCTGTGCTTTTACTTTGCTCAGAGGTATTACTCGGAGGTTAAATGGTAAACTTCCTTCTATTTAACTCAGCCAGGGTTGGGTTTTGTGAAAGCACCCTTTTGTATGCATAATACCTGGAGTCTGCAAGTAGTGTGCAGTCGCTTCTATGGCAAGAATGGGCTGCATCTATTTCTTCAGGGGGCAAGAGCTGGAACTTCTTTGAGTTTTGAGTCATCTGGAGCAGAATTCTTGTGCTAAAGTGGAGGATTTGGTGCTGTATGGAGGTGAGCAGCTCTATGAAAGGAGACTTGAGTTTGTCTCCCAATGCAGCACGGGGTGTCCCTGCACAATGCTGCTCTGTCCAGCTCACCTGTGCGTGTGTGTGTGTTAGTATGGCTTAGCTAAAGCACATGGACTTCAGATGATTATCAGTATCCGCAACTGTGAGTAATCTTTGCTATCTCTGGAACTCTGCAAACCAGTTTCCCATAGTCCGGCTATACATCTTGCAAAGGAACATAGATGAATGTTTATTGGCAAAGCAGAAAGGTTATAGCCCAGGTAAAAACAAAGAGAGAAGAGTCAACAGGATGTCTGTTTGATCTAGACTGTCTTTGGGATGTTTGCTATTTTTAAGCATTCTTCCTGTGAACCTTTTTGAACTCCCTCTCTGTTGAAAATTCCTGAGAAGGGCATCCAGTTGCGGATGCTAAAAATCCAGGTATTTTCCTGTGTTAATACAGCATAGTGTACAAAAACATTTGCAGAAGATTACAGAAGACTGCTCAACCCTTTTGTGTGACTAAGTGAAACTGATATTTTCATGCTGAGAGGAAGTGTGATATAGCTTGTACAGACAGTGCTCAAGAACTAGGGTTTATTTTAGTTTGTACTTATTCTTGATGTGCAACTGTGAGCCAGTCTTAATGGAAAATACCTGCCTTGCAAAGTGTTTCCTGTGTCTGTTGAATAGCTACACCAGACTCAGCACTGACTGTTGGGTGGGACTTGGTATTTGGAAGGTGATCTTGCCTTCCTGGATTGTTATCACTATAAAAGCCTGGTTTTTAATGCTGCATCTGTGACATTAACTTGGAAGTGTCATTGCAGTTCAATAGCACTTTATTCTTGTTTAGTCATTTCAATAAGCAGCTAATCTGTATTTGCACTGTTGACTTCCAAGCTGAAAATACAGATGTTAGAAATCCTGAAAGGTGGTCCATACTTCCAACTGTTTGCAAATTCTGCAAGCGTTACATGTGCAGCAACTTTATGAGCAGGCTATGAGATTATTTTTTTAGTCATCTAAAAGACCACCACCACTGAATGTCCATAACCATGCCTGGCAGGTTCATGATGGATAGCAATTATCCTGTTACTCTGGAGGTGTCTTATGCTGCATTCAAATCCCATCATGTAGTTTTCTGTGACCTGGAATCTGGGACTTCTCATGTTCATTTTATTCGGTGCAATATTCTTTACTGCTGCTCTGGGAGCTTCTTGTCATATGTGTTGCCACCTTATGAATTGCTGGCTTTGCCAGCAGAAGTCAGGGAATGACAATTCATACCGAGAGAAGAACTTAGTGACAAGTCTCATAGCGATCATTTCCCTTTTAAAAGAAGGGCAATAATGAGGAGAAGCAGAATTGAGAGACTTTGAAGTACAACATTTTGTTGTGGCAAATTAGAAATCTTATTTTAGAAGTTAAAAGTATAACTGATCTTTGAAAATTAATGCTGTAGATAAGTCCAGTATGGCTTTAGTGGAAAATGGTAGTGGCTCTTGTGAGCTAGCCTCTGCACCCTGTTTTACAGGGCTCTAGTCTGCAATGGTGTTCTGTGAAGAGGCAGGAACATACTTCTGTTTCTGGTGTTTAGCTGTTTGTTGCAGCACTTGAAAGTCCTGGATTTTCATGCATAAAGGGTTCAACTGCTGAGCTATCAAAGGAGTTTTGTCTTCATTTTGATACATGATCTACTTTGTAAAGATGAGGGATCTGCTGCATTGTACACTTCTGCATGTGCAGAGATGTTTGAGTGGTGTTTTTTTGCTTTTGTAGAGAGGCCAGTTTTATTTCCCTGTTACTGTGTATTAGGTAGAGCTTATTCTAGAAGTAGAACAAATATAGAATGGTTTGGGTTGGAAGGGACCTAATTAAAGACCATCTAGTTCCAACCCCCCTGCCATGGGCAGGGACACCCTCCACTAGACCAGGTTGCCCAAAGCCCCATCCAACCTGGCCTTGAACACTTCCAGGGAGGGGGCATCCACAGCTTCTCTGGGCAACCTGTTCCAGTGCCTCACCACCCTCACAGTAAAGAATTTCTTCCTTATATCTAAATCTCCCCTTTTTCAGCTTAAGGCCATCACCCCTTGTCCTATCACTCCATGCCCTTGTAACCAGTTCCTTTCCAGCTTTCCTCTAGGCCCCTTCAGGTACTGGAAGGCTGCTGTACAGTCTTCCCGGAACCTTCTCTTGTCCAGGCTGAACAACCCCAACTCTCTCAGCCTGTCTTCATAGGAGAGGTGCTCCAGTCCTCTGATCATCTTCATGGCCCTCCTCAAATTGACTTTGGCATGTTCTGACATGACTGTTCTTGTGTTCCTCCTTTCCCACAGTTTTTAGCATTGGCATTTTTTTATTTGTTTATGTGGAAGCAGAAAGCTGCAGGAAATCTCATGTAAATAACTGTTCTGTGCTTTAAACTTCCCAGATCATAGGTTGAGCTGATTTGAGACAGTTTGCTAAGGCTAGTGGAAGAAAGATCTTTGAAATGTGTAGTATATATTTAGTTCCTTAAATTCAGCTTCTGTGCACTGATCTATAAAGTCTGTGAATGTTTGGGTATTGGATTTAAAGACAGAGATTGTTCAGCAAGTACAGCTAATTTGTAGAAAGTTTTTGTTGTTTGGGTTTTTTTTCAGCAAAAGCAGCCTGCAAGTCCTCTCAAATTAGTATTGGTTTATGAAATGATAGCAGAACAGGCATAGTGCTGTTGGATTAAGGGCCAGAACAAATCTATTAAAGACTGATGTTAATATACATGTGCTCAAACTGAACTAGTGCTGTCATTACATGTAGGACCATCATCTGTGCCTGAAGAAGAATTCTTGTTTAAATCCAGCTTTGATTGTGTAAAAAGTTAAATTGTAGTTGGTTAAAATTGTGGGGTTTAAGAACTCCAGGGTGACACAGAACCCATGGAATTAATAATTACAAGATGAGTTGATTGGAGAATTTTAATGCTCCTGTAATGTCAAATTACAGCATGAAAACAATTTGGAATTAGTCTTGAGGTGAACATTTTCAAGATGATGCTGTTGTGAATAAGGACAATAGCACTTGTGCTTTACGGTTAAGCAGGTTGTCTGCTTCTGTTTTGGAAAAGTGGCAGTTGTTATAGTATAAGCTGGAGGAACATTGTAAGCTGGTGGCTTGCTTGATAGGATGGAGGTTTCTCTTGCTTCCCACTTGCCATCCAGGAAAGGATGCAGACAGGCTGCTTCTGTAAATACATGCTCCAGTTCCATTAAGTTTTAGCACTTAAATACATACATCCTTTGAGAACTTCTTGTCTGGAAAGTCAAGGCTTGGTGTATCAGACTCGGTCCACTGAGTATGTGCTGTCTGCATCTCTGAGTGGATTACTCCAAGGGAGATGCAAGATGGTTTCTGTCGGTACAGCGCTGCCTGGTTTGATGCCTCTTGGAAGCACGTTACTGTTATGCCTCGAATTCTGCAGGTCTTGACTTAGTTAACAATTACTTTTTGATATCTGGGTCAAAAGAAAAAAATCCTTTCCTCACTCCCAAAGAGAGGTAACTGTTATCTCTGCCTGTGACAAGATGAGTTGAAGTTAGTAAAATCATATTGAGTTCATCAGGGGGTTAGATCTGTCAGCAAACTGATGCTGCTCATGCATGTGCTGTTTGAAAGTGTTCCCTTTTAGTACTAGCAGCACTTGTATAGGCTTCAAAACACACACAAAAGCAGCCATGTCTTGTGGTGTAACCTACAGCACTGGGATCACTGGTAGAAGCATCCACTTGAGTGTTTCAGGACCTGTGGTTGAAGGAGTACTTCCACCCTGTTTTTGTAAAGGGATTTACTTCATCCTTTTACCTAGTTTTTGTGGAAAAAATGGAATTCCATTGTGGGGTTTTTCTCCCTAATTAATAGAAATAACAAAGTGCAGGAAAAATGTAATTTTATTATTCTAGAGTGTGCATATCCTTGGGAATTTTCAAGTGAATTATAGGTATTTGCTTTGGCTATAGTTTCCAGTCATTCATTCTGTTACTTTATGTATTCTCCATCTCTAGATACCTGCTTGAACAAGACTTTCCAGGCATGCGGATTGGTCCAGAGCCTACTACGGATTCTTTTATTGCTGTGATGTATGGAGATTCAGAAGGAAGTATTCCTGGAAATGCCCTAGTTGTTGATCCTAAGAAACCATTCCGTAAACTCAGCCGCTTTGGAAATGCTTTCCTGAACAGGTGAGACCTGTTTGCTTGCTGACTTTTGATTTTTGTTTAAATTTCTACTTGATACCACCTGCAAGCATCAATGTTTTTTACTAAGATGGTTTTTTCTCCTGTATTTGTTTTGAAAAGCATGGAATAAATACTCAAATACAAGCAGGAGCAGTGGCAGTTCAAGTGAATTAAAAAAATGCCCACAAACAGTACTAGGTAGGGTAGTACTAGTGTAGAGCTGTGTACCTGTGGTAAAACTTAAAAAAAAAAAAAAATGGAGAAAGGTAAGGATTGTTTATATATATTCAGGTATCAGAACAGAAAATCGTTGTTAAAACCAGTTCACAGAAAACTGCTGAAATGCTCTACCAGTTAACTTGTTTGTAGGGCATTACACCAGCTGGAACTCAAGATCCACAAATTTGAGCACAAATTTCCCTGCTCAGTAAAACTGGTAGATTAGTACTATTATTAAAAACTACCATCCAAAAAAGGAAAACATCTTTTTCCCTTTGCTGTCTTGTTCCTTTAGCTGGTCTCACCTGGGATCTTGGTACAGGTCTTAAAGTTGTGAATTGCTCGTATACGTATAAAGGCCTACAAGAATGGAGAATATTTGAATACGCCTTTTGGATAAAGTACATATTCAGGTTGTTAAGTGTTTAACTAGCTGGTCTTCGAGCAGTCCCATAGACCAGGATGATAGCATTAGCTTCTGGATGGCTGCTGGGTATTTCCAAAAAAAGGGGAGAGTTGTTCAGGGGCTGTGAATATTGCTGTGGCGTAACTTAAGCAGCTGGCTAAATCTTACAACCATTTAGGTTGGGAAAAAAACCTTTAAGATCATCAAGTCTAACTGTAAATATCTTCAGCTAAAAGTTATTAATAACTTTGTTCGCATTGTGTGAGCAATCGCCTTGTTTTCTTCCTGTATTTGATGGTGGCTTGACAGGCCTGGTTTTGCAAGCCAATTAATCTAAATTGGTTCTCTTTTTAACAATAAAATTTCCTGTTTGGCTGATTAAACACTGGCATATGTGTTAGAAGTTCATCATGTGCAGTCTAATCTCTCACTGTGCTTATTCACAGAAGAAAGTTTATAGCTGCTTACAGTTGGCTTGGCTATCACTTTCTGAGAGATATGATGTGCTGTGGGAAGCTGCAGTCAGGTCCAGTTTTAAACAACAATTTTGTGGTCCAAGACCTCTTTCTGTGAGATTATTGGCTAAGTCTTGTCCTCCAGAAGATCAGTCCTTCCAGATTGCTGCTTTCTTTCTCCACTGTTATGCTTTCTATGAAAATTTAATATAATTATACTCTAAAAAGTATTTTGCACAACAGTCAAATATTGACACAGAACATCTAATAATACTAAATGTTTGTATGGATGAATGGATTAGATTTTTTTTTTGGCTAAATTGTCAGTCTAGTTGTGTCATGTCCTGAATCTTAGGCAAGCAACATTATTTGCGAGCTAAAAAGATGTACATTCAAATTCATTTCTCGTTCGTAATTTACCTAGTTGAAAATCTCTTAGGCTTTATTTCAATATAAAGTCACTTCTCCCTGTTGTCTTTACCTGCGATCACACTACATATTTTTGCTTTGCCTTCTCTCATTTGCCATACTGGCAGTGACAATGCTTTATATCAACTATAACATTTTTCACCCTTGTCTTAATATATTTCTCTATTTCTCTCTCCTCCTCCCCCTCCTCTTTTTTAATGATTTCACAATCCTAGTGTTTTGTTTTGTGGAAAAACCTAAGGTATTGCCTTTAGAAGGCTATGGACAATTGGACTGTAAAGTCAAGTGCCCTTTTCATCTAAGTGTAACACGAAAGGAAATGGTGACTGAGGTAATGGAGAAACTAAAACCAAACAAGAACACAGTAGTACAATCCAGGCTTGTACTTACTAATTAGCCGCATTAATTTATTGATGTTACCTTGCCTCTTTTTTTCCCATGACTCCTTCTTACAAAGTTGATGACAAAGCTGTTTGTAAAAATGAAATAATGTAATTTATTTTTGCAATCATAGTCTAACATTGCTGTTTTTCTTTAACAACAGTTTTGTAATAATATGAAAAACATGACAATATCAAAGCCCTAATGTGTCGTAAGCAGTTACAGTCATTTGCACAACTATTTTTATAGAACCTTTTTTGTGGAGGTCTGCTGGCGTTAAGGTAGACAGTATGTAGTTTTGCTTTTTGAGGCAGAACTGAAAATCACACTTCATACAGGTCATGTAAGAAATAGTGGTTTGGAGTCAAATCTCAATGTCAGAAAGATATTCAGATGTAATTAGCATTACGGTTTTAAGCTGCCTGAAATATTAGTTTGATGTAAGATTTTTTTAACCCATCTGTTGTCTTTAGATTATGGATATAGTCTAAAAGCTACAGACAGTTAATTCTGAGTTTATCCTTCTATTTCATGTCCTGTTCATCTATACTTTCCTCCTTCCTTTGCCCCCAATGACTGCTGCAAAGACTGCAGTGTCTTTCCATTTCTGAGGCCTGCAGTTCTCTCTTTGCTTGCACAGCCTTTTCCAGCTGTCCCAGTTTGGGTGATGCCTGAGTCAAACTACTGCCGTATTGTTCAGCTGAAATAATGGTGCCTCTTGTCTTGTAAGATAGGTCTAGAAACATCTCAGTCATATTAAACAGGTGCTGGGCTTTCTAAAGTGAAATAGTGATTAAAAAAAAAAAATTCAGTCTTTACACTGTTCCAAACTTATGAAAGCTACTTCATGTTGTACATACTAGTGGTGTATATTTTTGTTATAGTTGACATGGTCAAATGTATATTCTTTGGCACTTTGGACATTCACTATGCTTCCACAAAAAGTGTTTGCTTTAATATAGCGTTGTCTTCAGGTTTTGGAAAGTTCAAAAGCTGTTATTTAATTCAGAAGTACCTCACTGCTCTTTCAAAAGCAGCTCTTAAGCTTGTAGAAAATTAGCCTTAGTGGAAAAGTTTGCTTCAGGATACGCAGTATTTTCTAGTGATGTTCCACTAAAAAGAAAAAAAAAACAAACCCCAAAAGGATAGTGCTGTTTATGTAGCCTAAGGTTTTTATCAGGCCAAGATGGCTGCAGTTTCCTTGCGCTGCCTTGGGTCTCAGAGAGGGACGTAGCTGATGGTGCTGTTTGTTATATCTAAAAAGGGATGCTGTCTGCTTTTGTTACAGACTCCTTACGACAAGGTCACATGAAAAACAAGGTGAAGCAAGGTGTAAGGGTTTTTCTCTTCCTGATTTCCTTTGAATCATCTGGATCATTATCTGTCCAACAATAGCTTCCAAATTTTGATATATCTTACATTTTGTATCTGATATTTGACTGCCTGAACTCTTCCTAACTCAGATTATCTTTGCTCTTAAAGTTCTTGTTTGACCTTAGTATGGTTAAAATCTGCTGTCAGGGGTACCCTGTTTCTTGAGATAGGTTGTAAAGTGATGGGCTAATGCAGGGCAGCCATCTCCGTGGCCTCGCAGGAGGAGGTTAGGTTATGCTGTGCTTGTTAGCACGGTCTTCAGCTGCTACCCGGTAAGAAGATTAAGTTCTTATGCAAATCTCCTAAAGGCAGTTTATGATGAAGGGAGATGAAGTTCTTCAGTCATGGACTATCCCAGAAGCATCAGAGTAGTTTGGATTTAACACACAAAGTGTTCTGTAGGACTCTCAGAGGCCTCATGAATAATTTATGTTTGTAATACCACCATTGAATTTGTCTCCCATTGCAGAGGCAGGAGGTCATTGTTTAGAGCCTTGCTGTGTGCAATTTGAACTCTCGATTCTGGCAGTGTGAAAGCTTTTGCTCGGTTTGGGGGATACAGTTCTTTTCCAGTCCTCTGCCAGCCCCAGCTCAGGTGGGTGGTGGGTCAGAGACAGGGACTGTTCAAACGCTGACTGGAGCAGGTGAGAGGGTGACGTGCCAGTAACTGGAATACACACACATTGTCAGTATGTCTCATTGCCTGCTTCCCTTTTCCTTTGAATTGCTTTGAATTTGAGCAATAGTTGGAGTACCTGAAGAACTGTTTCTTGTGTATGCTACTTTTAGTCCTAATAAAATGTGTGTTTTATGCAGTCTTTTTAACGTTGCATGTATGGCCCATGTTGTCAGCTCTTAGAAATTTGGAATTTTATCAGCACTTAAACATATGGTTTTATAAGGCTTCCTTTTTTAGAAACTGTTTACATTTTTTCTTAAACATATATGGTTGCCAAACATAGGGGTTCATTAGGTCTTAAACTTTTTTTCAATCTCACTTGAGTCTTTCTAAAAGCAGATACGTAATGGGGAGCTCTCAAGGGACAATCTAGGTGTGAGCTAGAGCTACTGTTAATGGGTTTTCTCTCCTTTCCTGCAGGTTCATGTGTTCTCAGTTACCTAACCAGGTATTGAAGAGCATCAGTATCATCGACAGCCCTGGCATTCTCTCTGGAGAGAAGCAGCGCATCAGCAGAGGTGAGTTGCAGGGCTTGAAAACAACCAAGCTCACTATTTTGCTGTACTGGACGAGTCTTCGTCATCCCAATCTGTTGGGAGCCTGTTTTAGTGGTTTTCAGTGGTGGTGTGTCCCAAACTTTCTTACTACAAGGCCTATTAAACCCACATTTTAAGGCTGGAAGTAGAGTTTGGATTTTTTCCTCAAACTGATGTGGTTGGGATTTCCATCACCCTGCTGCTATGGCTGCAAATGGCTATGGTTGCATGGTCTGTTGACTAATTAGTGCTTTGACACTCCTGAGGGAAAAAAAAGCCTTATTTCCATCATTTAATTGCTTTCCACAAAGTAATGATGAATAGACTCTCATATATACTATTGAAGTTCATAAATGAAGAAATGTTTCATAATAGCTATAGTTCTTCAAGCTGGTCATGTTTAAAAACTGAGGGGTTTGGGCTATAAATAAGGTGCTTTTATTGTAGGCACAGCTGCTAGTGTTGCTGCTTAAGGTTGCTCAGTCATGCCATAATATAATTTTCAGTCAAAAGAGCTAAGGTAGCAAGAGGAAGAGGGAATGAGAATTTTATTAATAAAATGAAAATTCTGTGAAGAACTGAACCCTGTTTTTAATGTGCTCTTTAAGAAATTAGCCTGTCTCTGAGAAACTATTAAAACAAAACAGCATGATGTAAATAACTTTCTTGTTTCCTTCAGCTGCATTTAAGTGCATGTCAGAGGTTTCTGTGGAGTTGCAAAGGGTAGTAATCCAGTATGTGGCTTATGCTGCCCTCCGTTTTCACACCTTTGCTTAAGAAATAGAAACTTGTGTTTTTGTGTCTGGGGAAGTAATCAGGTCTTTAATATAGCACACTTGGGATTTTCTGAGGAAATCCTGGAATGAGCATAATATATGGCAGCTGTGCAACCATAATCTTGTCTTTACATTGCACTGACAGAACAGGAGACTGTTTGCTTAGTAAACTGGTTTACTAGATGTTTCTGGATTCTTTGTTCGGTGTCTGAATGTGGTTTTTGTCCTATTTATTGCTCATATAGTCGTGTAAAGCATTTATCATGGGGAGAGCTATGTTTTCCTAAATGTGATGTATTGCTGAAATAGCAGAGTTGAACAACAATGAGTGCTCTACATCTGTGCAAGCAAAGGCTTGAATGTTGCCAAACCAGATGAGTAAAACAAATACTGCAAGGTGATGCTGTTACTTCTAGGCAGAAATGACAAAGTGTATAACTAATCATCTTTAATCTTCTCATAAGATGTCCACAAAATATTAAGTCTCACTTTAGAGTCTGATAAAATCAAAGATGGTCTTAAATCTTCTAATTATGCTTCTCTGTTTTGGATTCCAGCTCCCTCTCTCCTCCACCAAGAAAAACTAGGCTCATCTTTCTCTTCTCTGCTTCCTAATCAAGGGAAAACCATGCTTGGCAGCATTCATGTATCTGCTGCCACTTCCCTGACAGTATGGAAGTGAACATGAAATAAGCAGAAAACTAGAGCATCATATTAATATGCTACTGAAAAAGTGAGCAATTATGTGACAAAATTCAACACCATTAGAGATTGCTGTGGAAGTCCCAGACTTCACGTGTGGGACAGAGTTCTTTCACTTCAGGTTATGTTTCACTGGTAGTCCTGCATTGCTTGAAGGACCATGGCTCTTCACTGCCACCTGGAATTGCTATTGTAACTTAACAAAACATACAACTATTGTTCCTTTATTATTCAGAAACTCTGTTTCTTGATAGTATGTGCTTTATCTATTGTTTTTATGGCCTAGATGGCCTGCCCTTTGATACAGTAGACTTTCAGCTGAGAATGCTCAGTCATAACCTCAAACTCTTATCTGTTTCATGGGCTTTAACTTGATAAGCTTGCATTTCATGAATTTTTTTCAATGTGTTAAGGATTGTCTTGAATGTATAACTTGGTGTAGTTCTTTTATCACAAATATGGTTCTCCTGTATGCTGTTTAGCTTTAACCAATGTGGTTGTACCATAAATAAGGTTTTGGGAGTCAGCTTTAGAGCGCTGTTCTCTGTGCCCCAGGCTTGCAGGGCAACTGCTGCCAAGTTTTAAGGTTTCATATACTTAAGCATCAACATACATGAAGTACGGACCGCTGTATGGACCTGTTGCATGCACCTATTCCATGCTCTTATGATTAGGCAATACTGCACTCACCCGTGTCTGAAATATTGCATAGTCAAATACATCTCCTGTGTATGACTTCTGGGCTGCTTATACAGTTTCCATACAGGTGGTTTTGTGGAGTACAAGTGTGACTTGTTCTGTTGTGCTGCACACAGCATGGCCTGTCTGACCTGCTTCCTGAAGGAGTCGGACTGATTTCAACATATTTATGCTACAAGTCTAATTTAGCACATTTTGAAGTTTGAGTTGCTTAGGTTACTTTTTAAATGATTGTGTGCGAATGTAAGCAGGATTCTACAAGATGTTTTCCGCTCTCCCTAAATCTGTCTCTGTCAGAGAAGGTTCTGTTTGTACACCTTGAGACCAACAGAGGTTTTTTCCTACAAAATGTGTGTTGCTACCCTTAAACTCACTGGCTGCTTGTCACTGAAGTAAGGCTACAGCTAGTGTGCTTCGCTATGGGAACTGATGCTTTGTTTTGCTGTGAAGGTGATTACAGACTTAAACATAGGGATGCTTTTTTGTGCTTGCCAGGAAAGCTCTAAATATACAGAGTGACTCTTAAGAATTTCTTTTCTGACAGTTTCACAATTTTATATTTCACAATTTTATAGTTCAGCAAATTTTTTAAGCTTTCAGTTTTGCTTTTTCTCAAACTTTTCTTATGAGTCTTGCTGGCATTTTCTAAATAATAAATACAAGATGATATTTTTCATAATCCAGTAATGGAATGTGACATTTAATAACACCTGATAAGTATTCTTAGATGCTTTCTATTCTGTACATTATTTGTGTCTGTTCATATCTGAGTTTTTTTAATTGCCTTTCTAGAAGCAGCTTAGCTTGTTTCTTACGTTGGTGAGCCGCAACTTTTCTTATTGGTGATGTTTTAATGTGGACCTCAGTGTAAAACCTGTAATCTTTGATGTTGGTGGCTTTTTCCATTTTACTATGAACAGTTGCTTAACTATCTATGAATGGACGCAACACCTGCATAATGGTAAAATTTGACAGGTATCACTAGGAGTAAGGTGAAGCCTTCTGAGACCAACAAAGCAATCAAATGTTAACTTTCAGTTTTAAAATGCAGGAAAACAGTAAAGGGACTATGTAAAAATGCAGGATATGCACTACTTCCCAGCATGTTTTATTTATAACTCTGGAAAGCATCCAGGGCATGGATGAAGGAGCTGATCGCTTTCTTCAGGGGTCAAAAATACAGAGTGTATTCAAAGCTGTCTCTCTTGACACACTTTTCCCACCCTGTTGTCAGCAGGAGGATGTGTCAGAAGTGCAGACCCTGAACTGACAGGCAGGAAACGAGTGGCTGGAGGAGAATGCGCAGATGTGTGCCACCATTGTCCCTGGTCAGACAATGCCTGTCCCTGTGCTGCTTCTGCAGCATCACTGGTGACGTTCACAAAGCCCACGTCAGGCAGAAATGTGCGTATGGTCTGCAAGATTTGGAAGGAACAATGAGTGTAAGGAGAGGAGGAAGGAGAAGCAACGTCTGGCAGGGTGTGGGGAGGAACTGTTTTTGGGGGGGGGGGGAGTTGCTTCATGATTGAGTGGTGTGAAGGCAAGGGTTTCAAGAAGTATGGGGAAAGAGCAGAGAGGAAAATGGAGGATATTGGTTAGCTTGCATTTTTAGAACTGGAGTTACTTAAATACAGGTAACTTTCTCAGTTCAGTCTGGCTTGTGAAAATGTCGTCAGGGATTAAGTGAGGTGTTGCATATAGTTGCAGCATTGTCAGGCTTTCTCTTGCAGTGAGACGCTGTACATTCTCCTTGGCATTAGTCAGCAACAGGAGTGCATTAAGAGTGTTATCTGGGGTGCTGGATTGAGACAGGCTTTCATTAACATAACTGGAAACTTCCACCCCGGACAGCAAAGAGCCCATCTTTCCACATGGGACTGAGCTCCATTGGAAGGACTGGGACAGGTTAGATGCTCGCCTGTGGCAAAGCATTATAGAAGAACGGCAGATTGGGGAGGGTGAGGAGGAAGGCTGTTCTTGTCCACGTCCGAACTGTGTGTTGTCGCCTTGGTTGTGTGGTACTTAGACAGCAATGGCAGGTGGGATCTCTCCAGCACTCTGCCCACCCCTATTCATCTGGTAAATGGGTATTGTTCTCTGAGCTTGGAGGCTCCTCACTGCATCATCCATCTGAGAGGCGCCTCTCTTCTGCTTGTGTCAGTAGCACCAGCCCCAGGGGTGGAAGAACTGGACATGCTGCCTGTCTCTGCTTGCACAGGATGGGTGGAGCCCATCAAGCCTCTCTAATTGTTTCCTCAATTGCGAAAGCTTTGGGAGGTGGTATTAGGGCAAGTTGGAAATTATTTACCTTGGGCCCAGAAGGGAAAGCTTACTGTCTGTTTCAATCTTTAATACTAACTGGCACAGAAAATTGTCCCGTGCTCATACTGCATGATTGCACAACTGTATCTTTGAGTATGGCTGGTGGCTGTCATGCGTGGGGCTGGTATTTTGCCCTGTGCCAATGACACGAGAGCTCATGATCATTCCTGTCATCAGTGTTTCCAGGGCTAGTCACCACGTGCAGTCTCTTTCCAACTTTTTCATCTCTTCCTCGTTGTTCTGTTTTATTGCCCTCTGGTCTCTGCTCTGCCCGTTGCTGATGCCCAATAGTTATGTCTCTGTTGGAGGCTCGGGACAAGCTCTGCAGTGCTGCTGGTGGATCGCTGCTTCCCTCTGCCCCTTGGCTGGGTACGAGGGTGACTTGTGACTTTCTAATATGCCTTTGCAAGTAGATGTTGTACCTGGTGAGACATAGATCTTCAGGCTGGATATAAATGCTGGCATCAGTCATTGGAACAAACCTTTGAAGAAATAGTAACAGTAGAGCAGCAAGAGGCTCAGAAGTGTCAACACCAAATTTTTTTTGGTCAGGTGTTCCAAACTGCTCAGTGTTGACTTAGTACTGTTCAACTTTAAAGGCCCTTAGCCACACACGTGTACCGAATGTGACAGGATCCTAAATGCATTGTCTCGCTGCTGTCCTATCGTTTCCGTTAAAGATCTTTGCTTTGACTAATGGGATGGATCTGCATTTTGTTCCCTGTGGGGACAGGGTGGAGAAATCTTGAAATCAACTGTGTGAAACCATTGGCTGAAATATTTAACCATATATCACTTCTCTGTAGTTCAGATATACTCTAACGTGTAACCACGGGATCTGTATATAAAATAGGTTCACTTCTAATGATAAATTTTCATTAAAATCAATAGATTTTTTCAGATTTTTAATGAGGCCTTTTTCTTACAGTTGTCAACAAGTGGACTTTTCTTTCTCAAAGCAAATGCTTCATTAATGTTTAATTCATATCTAAAATTTATTGCTAGTTAACATACTTGCTGACTGTATAATTGTTTTTACAGTTCAAAAAATATCAAATGTGTGGTGGGAATTTAAATATTTATTTAACCAGCCTTATAAGTCACCTTCTCCCATATCCATTTGTGGAAAACTTAATAGAATTTGATTTGCTTCATTTTGCAATTTTATGTGTTTCATTTCAAGCAGATTTCCTTCTACATGAGTGAAATCAGAACAGATTGTTGCGTAGTTCAGATTTGTGCACTGATGCAACTATGTTGTGACGTGCAAGTGACATACAAGATCTGGCGTCTCCCTTTCTTTCCTGCTAAATTTTGATAAAGACAAATTGTTCGTACTGGTTTTGATAAGATTGTTAGTGCAAAGTGAGAAGAGTTCTCTTTGAAGTGTGTTTTGTGCAGCTCCCCTCCTTGCCCTCACCTTTCCTCTTGTGTTTAGCTCTTCAGGAACTGGTCACAGGAAAGAAAGTATGAAGCACCAGAGCAGCATTATCTGGAAAGGGTTCAGATTTAGCATTCCTTACAAAGTACTTTTAATGGGAAGGGTTATGTTGACTTTTTTCTAGCCAGTTAAGGACTCTGACCTGCATCCTTTTGGATGTAAGTAATACTTTTTAGCATAGCAGTCTCCTTTCAGTTTGATGTCTATGGATTCTTAGTGAAGTTTTATGGTCTCTTTTAGGGGAAAGTGGGGGGGGCAGGTAACTGGGGATACTTACTGCTAACTAGCATTTCTGGATTTCATTTCATATGCTACTTGTAATTTTTAAACAAAAGATTTAAGACTGAGTTCTTTCCTGTGTTGCTAAACATGAACAAGTATGCTCAATGACAAATCTGAAGTTCACCATTTTTCCTAAGACTTTCATGTATGTCTGCTTTTCTTGATATTGGCCATAGTCAGTTTGTACTGGAAAGCAAAAAAGCTGATTTGCTTTTGGGTTCCCTGTTAAAAACCAACAACTGGGAAGTATAGTGAATAATTACCTGATTGAACAGCATTGTTTTAAGAAAAGCTAAGCAACTTTACAATGTACCCATGCCCTTTTATTTATACTCTTTGAAAGATGCTAGGGAGAATGAGGAGTGGTGAATAGTGTTTTTTCTTGCATCTGGACCAGGTGTATGAAGTTGTCTGTGTAATGGGTTTGTGTATGAGTAGTCTAAGTGGGATTTCTTTGTGGGATTGGAGGTTTAAAGGCTTATTTTACTCAGCTGAGAAATGACCAAAGACACCCTGAAGGGCTCACTGGTGGTAACTGAGCTTTCTTTGCTGTTGGTATTTGCTGTGGGGGGCAAAATTGTCGATTCTGTTTGGGTTACTTTACACCAGTCCTCGCATTTTGACTCCTTCCTCTTTTAGCTCTGATTTCTTTGAGAGGAAGAGGTGGGGTGGGATGTTGGGTCCCAGCTCATACCTTGCTGTTCCCTACTCAAACAAGATGAGTCACATCCATGTCAAGCCCAATGCCACATCACTAGTGGTGACTCTCTGCGGATTAAATGTGTCACTTCTGAATAAGGAGCTCTCAAATACTGTTTGTTGTGTGGACTAGGCTACCAGCTGCATTTAAAAAGCATTCAGGCAGGTGTTAAGAATAGGCTTTCCTTTAGAATGTCAAAAAGCTTGTTTCAGCTGATCAGAAAGGTCACTGCTGGTTGTGTTCTGTAATCTGTCATGTCCCCAAAGCCATCAGCAGCATGGGCATGTTACTTGTAAATTGGATCTCTCAGTTTGCTGTGGTAGAAATAACAGCAAGTGTTGCAATGCAAGGAAAGATGAGTTCGGAAATGGGTTTAAAATCCAAAAATTTTTGATTGCTGACTTATGCTGGAGTGCTGCACGTGCGCTGTTTTCCTTGTAAGTACAGACAGGCAGTGCTACCCAAGTGGCCAGCATTAACAGTGATGAAGAGAACTTGTGGTAAGAGCCCCACAGAGCTGCTTAGCGTGGGCACTCTGCTGGAGCCAGCGCTCCTGGGAAGAGGCAAACATGGGTGTGAGATGGCTAAGGAAATGTAGGATACAGTTGTCCTGATCTCATTGTCCACAGACACTCTCCTCCAGGTGGTCCATCTCCTCTTTTCCCCCAGGTAGATGGTATGATCCCCTTGTCCTCTATCCCCAGCTGTATCTTCCCTGAGACTCGCTTTTCTGAACAGTGGGACTGTAATAGTGTGTTCTTCCTTCAGGCTATGACTTCTGCCAAGTTCTCCAGTGGTTTGCCGAGAGGGTCGACCGCATCATCCTCCTTTTTGATGCCCATAAGCTGGATATATCTGATGAGTTTTCAGAGGCTATTAAATCATTCCGGGGACAGGATGACAAGATTCGAGTGGTGCTTAATAAGGCTGACCAAGTGGACACACAGCAGTTGATGAGGGTCTACGGTGCACTCATGTGGTCCCTGGGAAAGGTGATCAACACTCCAGAGGTGCTGCGGGTCTACATTGGCTCCTTCTGGGCCCACCCTCTCCGAAACACAGAGAATCGAAGACTCTTTGAAGCTGAGGCACAGGATCTTTTCAAGGATATCCAGAGTCTCCCACAGAAGGCCGCTGTGCGGAAGCTCAATGATCTCATTAAGAGGGCGAGACTTGCAAAGGTAAGAAAAGATAAAAAAAATAAATTGAATGAGCAGTCTCTTCTGTCTCTTTGTGTGTCCTTTCTCACCCTTCCCAATCTTTTTGTACATATAAACTGTGTGTATTTCAGCAAATGGATTGAATTGTCAGTTTTTCAGGAAGAGGTAGCCATCCAGGATATAGAAGCAAGTAGGAAGAGATAGACACTTGTACTGGGATGCCTCCTTAACTTTAGAGAAAGGATTTGATGCTTTTTAAGCTATTAAAACTATTATTTGCTTGGTATGGAAGGGAATTTTTTTATACTGTACAGCAAGGTAATCTTAATGCTACTTTTTGGAGATAAACCACTTTTCTCTGCATATCAGTTGTTAAAAACACTTTAAAAAAAGAAAACGGAGGGCAAAAAAAAACCACAACCAAAACTATTCACATGCAACCTTCCGTATGCTTTTTTGCATATTAATGCCTTAATGCATACTGTCAATCAGCTGTTATGGAAAAACACTTGGAACACAAGACTGATTAAAAGCCTCGCTCTTGCTAAAGCACGGATACTGATGAATTGGAGAGGTGCTTGTGCATTAGATTGAAACTTTTGAGCCTCTCTGACTATATCTTCTTCATCCCCAGAGATACTTGGGTGATACAGACTTTGTGTCGTTGTATCTAGAAAAACCCATCTGTCGTTATCCAGGAACATGAGTTATGTGCCCTGCTGTGGGTGGCCCCTGGTCACCGTTCCCCTTATTTTTGGCCCTGGAGGAGTACATGCATTGTGTGCAACTTACGGTCACTAACTAGCGTGCGTGGGCAGGCTGTGTGTGACAACACTGTGGTTGTCCGCAGCTGACTTTAAAACCCATTTAATTTTTTTTGATAGGTCTCTAGTTATCTTTCAGTGACTGAATATCACTTTAAAGCTTTGTGAATTATCACCAAGCTTTAACTACCTGTTTGTAAAACCTTCTGGTTATGTTTTACACTAATTTTCAGACTCCTCAACAACACTAGCTTCATCTGTCCTTTTCTCACAGCCTGACTAGAATAACCTATCTGAAATATCTTTGCCTGTTTCTCCAATTCTGCAGTGAGTTGCTTTTACTGCAGCACGGCAGCTGCTGTTAGAATAATAGTTAAAAGCACTGCTAAGTTTCTTGTTGTTTTGAAAAGCTTAAGAACAAAGTGAAAATTGGTGATTCAAGAATTATGATTTTGTCATTTGGAAAACTGGAAAAGAAGGAAAACTAACCTCAGAATACTTGGGGAGAAAGCTGGTGATACCAGACAGAAATTCTGATTTTCAAGTATGTCGGCATTTCCTATGCAGTTATCAAACAGAATGTGAGCTGAGTTAATGCAGTTGTCCTGGAACATATTTTCACATGGACTTCTAAGCAAAAATGAAGAGGACTTGCACTTACAGCAATGTAAGAATAGTTGTGTGGGGATGTATACTGCTTCCTATGTTGGCTTAATTAACTCTCTGAATATAATGATACATGTAAAGATTTTTTTTGTGGCCTGAGCTTTAGTGGCCTGTGGCTTTTGTGGCCATAGCAATTGCTTCTCTCAAAATTTCATTTAAAATTATGTTCCTGATGATGTGTTAAAAGTTGCTATAATCTCAATCTATTTTGTGGACACTTGGCAGCTTTTTGTTTTCATGCATTATAATTGTTTGGGGAGTGGAAAAGTCAGATGGATCCATTTTTTGGTGTTTCTATGTAATGTAAAATAAAAATGGATGAAGATTAATATAAAATACAGTGTTCATAGGGCATGCTAATTAGACAGCTGTGGAAAGGGAATAAACTATTTATCTGCAGGAAAGCAGATAAATAGTCATCTGTGTCATCTTTCTGTCTTCCAAACTGAACTTAAAGTACTGACACTCAAAAAATCATTTCTTACAGTATTGCTTGGTATTTTTTGGTCCTGCTTCTCAATATCCTCTAAAGAATGCGTAATAACCAAAACCAAACTGTTAACTTGCTGTCAAATTTTGAGCGTTAGCTTTTCCTTTTTTTAAATCCTGTGACTCACTATTCCACTTTGAAAATGGGAACTCTTATCTATAAGAAACACATGTGCCTACTTGCAGACCTTAGACCACTTAGCATACACATGTGAAACTGTTTAGTGCTTGTGAACTATAAACATACTGTACTGGTTTTGCTAGAAGTATTATTTTAAACATAGATCCATAAAATTACTTACAATTACTTATAAATTCTCTTAAAAATATCCTTGTTGCATCTCTTATGTTGTTCTGGAGAAATACTCATGTCTGCCTTATTAGAAAATGCCATGGGTTTATGCAGAAACCCTGCTTCTTTATGCTTTTTTTTCTCCTCTGTAGAAATGTAAATTTATCTGCAATTAAAATTCATCCACGCTTTCTAGATATGAGGAAGTGATGTTGAATGTATATTTTTGTCCATTTTTGCTGCTGTTCTGTTAACAGTCAAATGTAAAATTTGGGATCTTAAGACACACAAAGAAAAACTGGTTACACCATTTTTCTTTAAAAAGAGAAAATGTTTTCAGTAAGCCTTATAAATGAGTAAGGAAAGGAATGGGAGAGCACTTTCCCTGTACAGATTGTGTTAGATTTGTACAGAATACTATAAGGCATGTTCTGTGCTGTTTTGGTAGATATTAATTATATTTACACCATGTCTATGTAATCACTTTTTTTTTCTACTGATCTGTCTTCACCAAGTCTTCAAAATTTCAGCTTTTTAATGTTCAATGGTTTGATAGACATTCTTATTTTTTTGATGGTTTTTCTGTGTGTGTGTGAAAACTGTAAGTGCTGTTTTGGGAACAGCTACATCCTTATTTTAATGAAGAAAGGCCTGAATTCTGTAAACAGCCTGTTGTGGTGGTCCTTTGACCTTCAGTGGTCCTGGCCAGGTTAAAGCTTAGGAAAGCAGTTTGATTACTTGAAGTTGATAGATGCACATGGCATCTAAAAGAAGCTGGCCCTTGCGCTTCCCTGTTGTGTGCAGCATGAATATCTGTGTCCATGCAATGACCTGGACAAGTGAACTCACCTCAGTTGAGAAGTGCAACCACTGTTTCTGTCCTGGACCAGATCACTCTCTGTGCGGCCACGCAGATCCTTTCGGTGGTGAAAAGTAGTGGGAGGGTGGTAAGGGGAAGAGATGAACAGCTCAGGGGTAAGGGTGGGCAGGAAGGGTGTTTTTGATGGCAGTGCTGGATTATCATGATCATGGCAGATGGGAAACTTGAAGAGCTCTGCAAGTATCAATGTGGGTTTGGACTTGTCCTAACTTAATGTCTGTCTTTATGTGCTGGAATGGCTCTACTCTTCTCCCTAAGGCTTTGCAAGGCAGCCGTGGCATGCCGTTGTTAACGGTACACTGACCGCTCTGTCGTCTTCTTGTGGCTGCATAAATATAGGCTGTAGGTACTGACTTTTCTGGGAGAAAACAGGTAGGAATGCAGTGTCACTTCAATTAGATAGCCCTGCCACTGAGCATACTTGGATTACTCGAGGCATTGTCCCATTGCTTCCCACAATAATTGTCAAGGCAAATGGAGTAACAAATCTCTACCACTGAGTCAGATGGACTAGTATGGCTGGCGCTCTGTGTGTGATCCATGCACGTAGCGTCAGGACGTGGTTTTGGGGCCTTGGTTTTGCTCTCACTGTTGGTACTGATAGAATGCTGTTCCATGCTTCTTCCTAAACTGCAGGTATACATCTGTATTTCTTTTAAATGTGTTTGCTTTCTCTCTACCCCTCAAAGGAATGCTGAAAGCAGCTGAAGCTGGTTGATGACTGTTCATATAAACATGAAGTTCCAGAAACAATTATTGATAATATCTTATCCTTGAACAAAGGGAAACATTATTTCTGTTTCTTTTTTATGACTTGAGTGAAGAACACTAATGCTAAGTGTAGAAAAACAGTAGTATTGATTTCAGTTTTGCTGCTTCTTAGGTTCATGCTTATATAATCAGCTATCTGAAAAAAGAAATGCCCTCTGTATTTGGAAAAGAGAACAAGAAGAAGGAACTGATCAGCAGATTACCAGAGATCTACATCCAGCTGCAAAGGGAATACCATATCTCAGCAGGAGACTTCCCTGAAGTCAAGAAAATGCAGGTAAGATGACAGATTATAGTTCCTCTGAAATAACACTAACTTTCCAACTGATTGGATTGCTGAATTGGAAAAGGCAGGACAGAACATCTCAGCATTATAGTTCAAGGTCTTCAGCAATAGAGCAGCTGAAGTGACAATCAATCATGTGTCTGTTATGGGGATAGCATGATGTGGAAGCAGTGTAGGCAAAAAAAAAATTGATAACTTAATGTTATCAATATACAGGACTACAGAAATTGCCATAAGGAATCAGACATGTCCTTTTAGTCAATATTTGGTCCTTCATGGCAAACAGTACTAAAGGCTTTGTGCAAATAAAATGGCACTGGTAAACTTAAGGTGGTTTTTGTTTTGTGTCCAAAATGTGGGAATTTCTGATAGCATTACAAAAGCAATATATACTTACATAGGTGAAGATGCCCTTAGTTGCATATTATTCATTTTTACTCTACTCTCTTCTTGCTATTACCAATACTGTTTGTCAGTGAGTAACAAAGGCAATGTGTTACCTGAAAAGTCCAACTTAAAACCTATCTCTCCTGAAAATTGTGCTTTTCAGTTTTTTCCTGTCCGTTTGAGCTTGTATTCTATGAAGAAGAGACAGAAGTTCTCAATTTATACTCTTGTTGTTAACTTTTGTCTCTTGTTCTTCTTTTGAACTTTATGCAATCTTACTACTAACTTTCTGTCTCTTGCCTTCTTATTTCTGTCCTTTCTGATTTGAGGTGAGATTGTTTAAGAAACAGAGAATCCTAGGGAAGAAAAGCGGATGTTGTGTTGCCAATGCTTTTCAATTTATTCCTCAAGCAACTTGTGGATCTTGAATCATAGCCTTCTTAAATGGCCTTAGAGTTAAAAGATAATTCAGCTTGGAAGCTGAAGAACATGAATCAGGAGCCTGCAGTTTGGTCTGACCACAGGCTAGTCATGGAGTGTGGGGAATGTTTTCCAGATTGACACTTGCGTATCATTCCGACAATTTATGTGGTACATTTGCACTGCTCATCATAGTGATGACCAGCTGATTAACCTATCTATAGGGATGCATGGGTTTCTTTTATGAACTAAAGTATTTAACTTGGGAATCAATTATTGGCATGAGACAGTAAATTGTAGATGAAGCACAAGATCTATTTCAGCTAGTTTTTTGCAGGCAGGATTGTTGGAAGGGTTTCATGAGTTAGGCTTTAAAAGGGAGTTCTGTGGAAGAAGTTGACTCTTTCTTACCTTGCCAATTTTCTTGGTGATGGGGAATGAGAGAATGAGAGGTGATCACTTGTCAGTTTGGATATTGAAACAAAATTTTGAATGGAACTTTATAAAATTTCCAGTGTGTGTCACTAAGCCTCAGCAGCAGATGGCAGCAAACATATGCATGAGAGATCAATCACCTCTATAATGAGGAGCAAGATTGTGAAAGAACAAAATTGTGCCAAAACAGCAGATTTGACCTGTGCTTTCTAAGATACATTGCATATTGTAAACTTATACTGATCAGTTGCCATAACTCAGGTGATTGTGTATAAATGTCACCTGAACAAGAGTGATAGTTGTTAGTTGGTGGGTTTCCTCTAAGAAATCCAAAGTTCTGCGTGCATGGGCAAAGCCGCTCGCTTGTGCTTCAGGTTTCTTGGGTTTGTATTGTTACAGTTCTGATATACACGGGAGCAGCTCCCTGAGATAGATGTGACTTGTCAAAGCAGTTTAACACAATTTTGAGAGGGGAGGTTGGGGGGGTTTGTTTGGGTTTTTTTAAGTTTCCACCATAACTCTCTTCCTGGCTAGCATTTTGCATGTAGAAATCATTCAATGATCGCCTAAAGCATTTTTAATTTTTCAATGCTCTGGTGTAAAACATGCTTGGGCTTTTGTGTTGGAATAGCACATATCACCTAGGTAAACATCTTATTGAGGGTAGTAGGAGTTTATGTACGAGATGAAAACTTTGCAGGGACCATATGACTTCATGAGTTCTGGTAGCACCTGTATAAAAACACTGCTGCTAAGCTAACTCAGCTTTTCCTTATTGGTAAAGGACACTTCTTCATGTCCTAACCCTAAACAAGAAGTTTAACCTATAAAATCAGATCAGTCCTGCAAACTCTTGCATTTATTTTTAACTTAAACACTTGCATTAAGTGCTAGCAGGACTGAGGACGTATTTCCATACTTTCTTTGATGTTTGGAAGAAAATCACCGAATGGTAAGTTGTTAGGTAATGTTCACCAACTGGCATGTGTTTATGCATTGCCACTTTGAAAATTGTATTGTAAATGTAATTTAATAGACCGGTTCATACACTGTTGCAAAATTGTCATGATATATTTCATCAGTATGTTAGATGTATGATAGATATGTGTAAGCTTTGCTTCTCCTTCAAGAGGAGTTTCAGTTATGGAAACTGCTTCAGAAGATAACAGATTGTTTTCATTGAAAGCCCATTCCTTATCCTGTTTCAATGGATTGGAAGCTTTTCTAACTACTGTCACTGAAACCCTTGTCATTGGCAGGAGCTGTTGGAGACTTGTGACTTCACTAAATTTCACTCTTTGAAACCAAAGCTAATTGAAGCTGTGGATAACATGCTGGCCAACAAAATTGCCTCCCTGATGAGCCTGATCAGACAGGAAGAGAGCAATATGCCCACAGAGATGGTACATGGTGGAGCATTTGATGGCACCATGGCAGGACCTTTTGGCCACGGATATGGAGAAGGTGCTAAGGAAGGAGCCGATGAAGACGAATGGGTTGTTGCCAAAGATAAACCTGCTTATGATGAGATTTTCTATACTCTGTCACCAATCAATGGCAAAATATCTGGGATCAGTGCAAAGAAGGAGATGGTGACTTCTAAACTACCCAACAGCGTCTTGGGGAAGATCTGGAAACTTGCAGACTGTGATGGTGATGGGATGTTGGATGATGAGGAATTTGCGTTAGCAAAGCATCTTATCAAGATTAAACTGGATGGGTATGAGCTGCCTGGCACACTACCTTCTCACCTGGTGCCACCATCTCACCGGAAACCTTTGCAGACAGTAGAGTGAAAAATAAAAGGAGGAGAATGAGGATTTTGGAAATCTTCCAACCAATGTGTTGAAACCACCAAAATTTGAAATTAGGCTTAGATCCTTAAACTTCACAGCACATTTTACTCAAGTTACTGAAATTAGAAGCTTAGTAGCAGGGAAACATTCATGGAGTTGTCCCTGCTGACCTTCACTGAGACATGCGTATCACAAGTGCCTTGTATAGATCTATCATAATGTGTGATGGTAAGGTGAAAATATTTTTGTAGTCCTGCTTCCATGTCTTGCTACCTTTACAACCATAAAGCAGAAAAGACCGTGTATAAAAGTCACTGACAGTCACCAAACCTAAATACTTTTATCTACCATAAGTTTCTCCAAACTATTTAAAATTAGTACAAGGAAGCTCTAAATGTTAAATTCACCTGCCTATGCAAGGAACACTTTCTATGCTAAAAACATACTTTACGCATCAAGTGAATGTCAGCATCTCTATAGTTTAAGAAAAGGCAGATGTAAAAGGAAATTTTATTTTTGTTCTTTTTTCTTTATTTAATTTGGAGGTAGAAAAAGAGAAGAGTAATGGAGAGTGAGTCTAAGTGCTCAGAATATGAGCAGACTTGTTTTAAACCTTCACTGATTATTGCTAAAGCTGCAAAATATTAAAATGATTCTTTCAATTTGTCATCACTGTGTCTTGTTATCTGAAGAACTGGTTCTTCAGTTTTATACAGCACTATATCTGCAGTATTATCGTTAAAAGAACTCCTTTGTTCATTGGATTTGTAGTTTCTTTTCAGGCTTCTGTTTAGCTGCTCTGCAGACAATAAATCCCTGAACTGTTCAAAGTGACATCAGAATATTTTCATAAACTAAAAAAAAAAAAAAATCCATTGAAATCAAGTCTCATTTTCTGTTCAGAAAAGGTGTATTGCTCAAAGTCAGCCTCTTCAAAGCACATCAAATTGTCTTGGGAAATTTTTGTGGGTATTTAATTTCTACTTGCAGGTAATTTTAGTTCTCTTATTTTTTTTATATATAATATTTTTAAGAGAAGTTTTTAACACTTTTGTGAACATGTAGCTGACAACCACAGAAGAGAGATTTGATTCCCCTGGTGGCAGATTTGAAAGATGGGGAGCCTAACAAATCTTTACATTGACTGTAATAAATGATAAACAGGTCCCTCCAAATATTATTCCTTTATTGAAAACAATCCATGAAAGGAATGGATGCTTAATAAACATTCATTTTTTTTAACAACACAATCAAAGTTGAACTGCTTACAACTGATTTAAGTACCTTAAAAGAACATAAATTTTTGGCCCTGTGAACTTCAGTCTTTTGGGGAGGGCCAGTTCTTTTCTAAGACCAAACTTGGCAGTCAGTTTTGCTCTATGCATGTGAGCAAGAATTGACTTGTACTCCATTTGTAGTATGAAATACCCTACACATCAAAGGTACTGTAATTGCAAGCACTTTTTCTTTGAGTCTCAGTAAGTGGTAGCAGTAGTGCCTTCTGAGACAGAGCAAGCCAAATGGTGTTTTAGCATCCTTGCAGTAAGGGTGAGGAGGGAAGTAGTTTGGTATTGTCTTCTGCTTAAGATTTTAGTCATGCTTATGCATTCAGATTTGTAGGTGACCTAAGAAGAAACTCAGCTTCTCTTCTCAAATCATACATTTGTAGGTTGTCAGTCAGGTTTAATACTTCAGATCTTTGTGGACCTCTTATCTTTCTGCATCTGTTCTATTCTGATGTGAAACTGCTGTGAACTTTGCCAGGGCTATACCATGGGGAAAACAATGAAGCTATTTTAAGTAATGACAGAAGAACACCTTTACCTTGCCAGGCTTCCGGGCCTGTATCAAGGATATCCTGGCATAGTTAAATCATTCCTGAGGACTTGCTTTTTTAAAATTCTTAAGTTTTTCCTCTTATTCAAGCATACCAACTTTATTTCTGTTAGACCTAAATTAGTAGCCAAATTAGCCTTAGTGCATCTCTGTGCACTTTAGAGCTGTGAAACTTGACCGAGAGTCTACCTGTGTGACTGTACATCTGCAGAGTAATTGATTTTCTATGTAATGTTGGTTTTGACTGAACTGTAGTCTATAGACATTGCAGGAGTTGTTTAAAAAAAAAAAAAAAAAAAAACAGGCTGCAGAAGTAGTAATATATGCTTGTTTGTGTGTAGTGTCTGCAGTCAGTAATGGATTCATACACTAATGACCAACCTGACTAGCTCAGTAGGGGAAGACATCTGGAGAAAGAAAGCAAGCTTGTGTATCGTGACTACTGTAGTGTGGGCGAAGCTAAGAGGATGTGGGAAGTTGCTGATCTTCCGACTTTCTGCCTTACCCTGCTCTTCAGCAGCACAGGGTTCCAGAGGTGGACCCACGTTTGAGTTGAGCTACGTGTAGCTTCCAGGGGTGATGCTCCAAATGCGTTGGAGCCATGTGATCCCATGCCAGTAGAAATATACTCTTCCAGTGAGAGGAGCAGGATACTTTCTCAGTGATTTGATTTTATTTTTCTAGCTTTATTGGTAGTAAAATGGAGAACACAGTCTTTTTGTCAGTCTCTGTGACAGTGTGCTAACTTGGGCTTAGGGGACACATTGAAATGCATCATTTTGATAAGTTAAAATATTTTGTCTAGGTGAGGTTGAAATGTTTTTGCTTTGTTTTTCTGTAGAATTTGGAAGGGGGATGTACAAAGCATGTATAGGAGTAGAGGTGGATTTTATCTGTTTATCTGGAGGAATAAGTTTCAGGATTGGCATGCAGAGCTACATGCATAAATGTATTTGTAGATACGTGGTGCAGTGCACTAGTATCATACTTAATTGACAGGAATAAAGTACACTTCATGTGGACTGCACAGCTAAACTGATACAGTAGGTTGCTGTTGCTCAGGGGAAGGGATCTCTTTTCTCACTACCTCCTCACATACCTGTGGATCTACTCCCTTTGCCGTGCTGGCTCTCTGGCTTGTCAGATCCTGCAAGCCCATTCAGTTAAACCAGCCACACGTAACAGTTTGGATAATGTTCTGTGGAGTTAGTGAGTCCGTGTGTTAGGAGCATGAGAAGTGAGCAGGATTACCTTCTCGCGTGAAACTGTGCTCTAAGTAGTTATTGGGAACAGCAGTATGAGGTAGCCTTTGGTGTTCAGTTTGATGTTACTGATCTCTGCTGAAGAAAGACCAAGATGTTGAATTTGTTAGCCATTTTATGCCTAGGATTTTGATTACGTTTGCTGTGAGACCATTCAAAACTGTTAATAATTCATCCTGTGAGATCAGTGCCCACTGGTGTGTGTAGTCTGCTGCCAAAAACCATAGTAGAAACTGCTGCTTTTACTTCTTCTCCAACTACTCTGCAACACAGTTTTAATTCCCAACCATAGGTCTGTTTCCACAGAAATTTATTAGAGTGTTGTTGTAGATTAGAACAGAAAATGTTGGGCTACTGCTCATAACCACACTACAGGGCAGTGAGAGCCTTTTAAAGCTGTGATAGCTTGAAAATGGTGAGTTTACAAAAATTTTTAGGTCAGGGTGGGGTCCTGGTAGTTAGTTGGAGATGGTATGGATTTGTGTGGAACCTGGTCTCAAAGCAGCAGCATCTGGTCCCTGACTTTCAACAACATTATTCATCCCCAGTACTTGAAATGTGCCCTCTTTTTCTTCTCACTTCCTTCCCTTTTGCAATGTGCGCTCACTTTGGTGGCTCTTATATTGTTGGAATTCAAGCAGAGTTTGAAGTGTATGGTTTGACGGGTATGTGTAACTTAGCACTGAGAGAATGAACATGAACTTTGTTTTCTACTTCACATGCCTAATATTTTTGTTAAATACTGTGTTTTCACTTCAAAGGCCCTCTAATTTTTGAGGGAAGGCTTGAGCTGTGCAGTGTGCTTCAGTTTGTCCAACAAGGCAAACAAAGTTGTAAGTTCATTATTGTTGCACTTTTATTACACAATAAATTCCTCGCAGATACTGTAATATATTTTAATATGCTTTGTAATCATTTTTAGAAAGTGGTGATAAAAATTGCTGATTTAATAAACTAATATTGAACTACCTGAGACTTTCTTTTGTAAGATTCTTTCTGGAAGGTAATTGTTCAGTGACTTGAATTTTGTAATCCTGCTACTTAAGGCTCATAGGCATGGTAGCTATTTGGCAAGCTGCTTATTTTCCCACCTCAGTTAATGTTTCCATAATAGGTTATGGCTATTTCTCTTCTGTGTCCTTGAACTTGTTGCTGAAGTTACTGTCCATGCCAAGGCTTGACTCCAGAATTAAATTTAAAAAGGAAAACAAACCTCTAGCACCTCTCCATAATTGGCTTTTTATAGCAGAATGTAATTTTGGAGTTTCTTAATGTCTAAGTATAGGAACTTCTTAATCTCCAAGTGTGGAAGATAAATCAAAAACTTCCTGTGTGGATTGACAGTGTGACACTTGAGCTGAGAGGTACTTCTTTTAACTTCAGTAGGGGTACTAACCTTGAAATATAAGAGTAGATTAGCAGTTTAGCAAAGAGTACTTTGGTATGTTTGTCCCAAAAAAATCCAAGGACACTTTCCACACAGTGCTACCTACTACTTTAAAATAACCAATTATATCAATAGAACATTCATTTTAATGTTGTGCTTAAATTTAATTTCTCCTGCCCTTCTTGTATACACACAACTTGAAGCATTTATAAAGATATCTGTGCCACCAGGATGCTACAGTTTAACGATTGCTCCTACTAGTGTCAGATCTAAGTTAAAGGGGTTTGTACGTAGCAGTGTTAGCAAGCTAGGCTGGCGTGCTCGTGGTGGTCATGCTGTGTCACGTGAAAGCATTTCACATGCAAACACTGTCTTGTGGGCATCCTTAAACTGAAGTATTTCTGTTTATGCCTACTGTACCATTATTTTTTTTTTCCAAACCTTGTTATTGGCTCCCATGTTTGGTGTATTTGTAAGGGCTTTGGAGCAGACACTACTTTATTCTGAGCTTCTCT